ACACACACACACACACACACACACACACACACACACACACACACACAGAGTAAGCTGCTCCACTAGGCCTACTCCCTGCGTTATCAATCTATGTGCCGCGAAAGGTGACTGCTACACCATATTTATTTGATTCACAACAGTTACTTAACTAAGCTGGTTTTGGTTTGTATATACGTGCCGTGTTAAATATGTGCTGTCTCTCAGAACATTATTCCTCGTCTCCCTATACTGTAGTTGGATCCAAATTTATTCAAAATGTTAGGCTCCACGTGTCTGTTTTGACTCTTCTCTGTTCGTAGCATTGGGTGTGCACTTTTTCCAAGCAAGCAGCGCTCCACACAGACGCCAACAGGCCCAGCCAGCGGCAGCGTCTGCCCAGACTATCCCAGGCTCCATGTGTGGGCCATCAGTGAAGTGAACCTGTCAGTGAGACGTGTGAGCGTGTTATGAGGATGACGATGTGTGAAATGGAAATGCAGCGAGAGACAACAGCGATGGCGACGAGAGTTCAGACGTGCCACCTGGACAGACGGCGGACGGCGATTTGCTACGCTGTTAAGACAAATCATTAATATGTTATTACACGGAAAGATCAACGAGCATCTTACCCACTTTATGAGCCACGCTTTTGTCATGCAACACTCTGTGTTCACAAAAATAAATCATCACCCATATTCAGACAGTGTCATCAAATAACACACATTCCTCTGAAGGCAGCCTGCGGCATTATTCCACCTCTACACTTAATGAACCACACAATTCAATGTACATTGTGATTAAAATGTGTTTATTTATTCAGGAAAATGAATCAGGTATTAAAATAATGTTTAGAAGATTTAGAGCAGTATAAAGAGAAGTGCAAAAAGGTGTGAAGGCTTTACAACTTTAGTCAGGTTGCGTCACAGCCGTTTTACAGCTTAGAGAAAGGCAACAGTGTTACACATGCTGTGTGTCTTGGGTGGTCCTTCATCTAAAAGTATGACATTTTATCTGGAAGAGAAAACACAGACAGAGATTGCACTTTTGAGCGATTACAGGGATCGCTACTGCTGGTCAAGATGAGCACTTTCAAAATCAATACGATCAGTTCAGTTTTCTAAAAACGGGGCCGGAGGTTGGAGCCCCGGGCACACAGCGAGGTCCTGATTACAGCCTGACCTGCTGGTGTCCTCTCTCTCCTTCTACAGCATAACAGCTGAGCAGCTGCAAGCAGCTGCGAGCAGCAACTCAAGACCGCTTCGTTTCAGACGGTATTTTTAGCCGCTTGAATGCCTGATGTTTTCAACCTTTGTCAGCGTGTATGTAAACGGGATCGGATGTGAACGTCTCCAGGAGACAGTTGAAATAATGCCAATGGACACTTTTCTTTAATTATTCATCTTTCTATATATTATACAGCGTTTCGTATGGAGGCTCAAGTGTGTCACATGGAATAATTATTAACATTTACATTGGTGAATTAAAATGTATTAAACATGTCTTTAAAACATTCATTTGTGTCGTAATGATGTAATTATAAATAAGAGGGTAATAAATAACTAAATTCAAACCAACTACTAACTATTTCTACTTCATTATTTTAGTCTGTATGCATTTATTTATCAATAAATAAATAAATGGGCCTTGGACACATTAAAGTGTCTTCAGAGAAATTGGACTACTGTATTTTCTTGACTCATAGACTCTTTTAGTGCCGATGTAAGTTACACATCAAGAATGTCATCTTGTATAAGTTTGAGATGACAAACTGTGATTCGAGGCTCGAGTGAACTACAATATCGGCAAAGCATTTTAAAGGTGGAGATGAAAGTGCTGCTATTAGTGTAGTTTAGCTTAGCCTAACCGTAGCTCATTGCTAACGCAGAAAGCTAAGCCATCAAAGAGATGGTGCGAAAATGTTGCTAATAGTTTAGCAGCCAAAGGCTCACAGCTTCGGTTAGCAAACAGCTGAACTATAAGCAACATTTTCTCTCCATCTCTGAAACACAGACTCGCTTGCTGATCGCACACTTGGTTTCTCTACCTGGTTAGATGCCCGAAATGAGGTCTGTGGTAGAATTCGTTATTATTTCAACTGTCGTAATTAAAGCAAGGGTTGGTAATGGTCAGAAACTTGTAAAAAGTATGCTAGATTTTAAAATGATCAACCTACAAACCAGCCCATTGTTACCAACTTCCAATGAAAGTAGCTAGCTGCACTAGCTCCAAAAGTTGCTGAATATAGCGAGAGAGTTTGCCAAGTCGGCAACACTGACAGCTCGTCCCTTTGGGCCTCCCTCCAAAGCCCCTCCCACAAAACGATTATTCCAGAAACGATTGGACAGCCTTGCTACAGTCCTGAGACAGCCACAGCTAGCAGATCTGATTTTGATGTTTTGTCAGCGCATTGAATCTGTTGATTGCTGTCGGGATGTAAAAGACAATTTAAACAAATATAACCACTACCAACCCCAGCTTTAAGGAATGAACTCGATATATACCTGTTGACCTTTGAACAAAATAAATCTATTATTATTCCTGTGGCACACTTCAACCTCCACAGCTTGGAGCGGATCTGACGAGCTCTACTCCTTTGGTCCTCTGTCAATCAAAAACCTTCAAAGAGATTTCCTCCTGACCTGGACCTACATCAAAGGTTGGTGGAGAAACAAAAACTGCTACATCCCACACAGACAGGCTTTACAGTTATGTCTCAGATCTACTTCAGCGGTCTGTGTATATATAAGTGATACGACGTCTCATAGAAATGATCACACTGATTTGACTGAATTGTAAGGGACATGTCTGACACTCTGAGGCCTCTGTAGGTCTCGGATCATGGCAATGGTACAAGCATAAGGAGAATCATTTGATGCAACCCCCCCCAGAGACCCTGTGGTCCCAACAAACATCCCTGTGGTTTAACACTAACCATGTCGGTCAGGCCACACGTCCGGTGACTCACCGTCGTTGTCTGAGTCGGAGTCTGCGAGGGGCGGGATGCGGACGAGGATGTGACGGTGGTCCCTCTGGACCACCAGCTGCAGCTTCCCTCTCGACTTCTCTATCAGCTTCCCGGCGTCGTGCAGAGAGAGGTTCTCTGTCACCGTCCCATTGATCTGCACACGTGCACACACACACACACACACACACACACACACACACACACACACACAC